GTTACATGTAATTATGTGTGAGTTATATCTAATTATTTGTGATTTTTTACTTATCTTTATCTTGAACTAATTTAATTATAACTGAATTAATTTTTTTCTTTGCCAATTTAATACAAAATTTTATTAATCCACATAAAATAAGTATATTGTATTTCATATTCATACACTATTTTTCAAATGATAAAAATGAAAGATGTAGTAGGAGTTTATTTCGTGGTGTAACTCACATACATTAAGATGTAACTCGCGTATATTAAGATGTAACTCGTGTACAATAAGATATAACTCGCGCAGAAGAAGATGTAACTTCATGATATATTATCAAATATAACTTCAAAATAATTTGTTAAAATTACATAAGCAATATTGGTCTCATTTGATAGATAATGAAAAATAAAAAAAATTGATATAAAATTTAAAAAAATCGGATATCAAATAAAAAAGTTATTACAATTTCTAACAATAAAGGAAAGAAATTTTATCAATTCAGGACCCGAAAGATAGATTAATTATCAATTAGGGACCTGAAAGATAAAATGCATCAATATAGGACCCGAATGATGAAAAACTATCAATTTAGGACCTGAATGATTGAAAACTATTAATCTAGGACCTAAGTTGTCATAATTTTTTTTATTAAAAAATTTTAAATATTATTTCGTTTTATTAAACTATTAAACTTTTGTGAAGAAAAGTTTACTAAAAATTAGTAATGGAATTAATAAAAAATTAAATAAATCAAAACCTATGAAATGTTAGGTGCTAAATTGATAGTTTTTCATCATTCGGGTCCTATACCGATACGTTTCATCTTTCGGGTCTTGAGTTGATAATTAATCTATCTTTCGGATCCTGAATTGATAAAATTCCTAAAAGAAATAAAAAATATGTATAAATTGCGTCGTTTTGCAACCGGGCGCACCATCCTCGTGGTGCGCCGGTTGCGGGGTATAAACTGCGGTTTTTCTTAGTTAATTGAAATTATACATTTTAACGATTTTCTTAAAGAATTAATGTCAAAAGACGTAAATGTGATGAGATTCCCGATTGGACATTTATGTGACTAATAGGATGTAAAAGGTCTCAATTGCCCCCCCCCCCCAATGTATTTCCCGTAAACCGTCTTCAGACTCTTCACCCCCTGCCCTGTGTGCCTTACGCGTCTAAGGAAACCGGCACCAACGATCTTAGCCGCCAGCTCCTTTGTTTTATCCGTCGCCATCTTCATCGCCTCCGTTTTCATCACTGTCGCCGACTCCGTTCCAATCATTCCTCTTCTACTTCTTCTGTCCAATCGCGAGCTACCTAGGGTTTTCGCGTATGGCGGCGACGCGTCGGTGTGGCTTGGGCAACAATGCAACGGCGCGAATCGGGATATGAAGAGGCGGCTAGGGCGGTGACGCACTTAGGGAGGCGATGGTTACAGGTGGGGGCTGGTATACGTGGGTGGGAGTGGTGCAGGGGTGGGTGCACCTTCGTCGAGCATTGACTGGCTGGGGGCGGTGAAGGGGTGGCAGGTGGCCAGATCCCGGTGGTGACGGGCTGGGGAGGGTCGGAGAGGGGTCCGGGACCCGAGGAGGGGGGCTGGAGAGCTGGGACGGTGATCCAATGGTGGGAAGGTCATGGTTGATGTTCAATGTGGCGGTGGGCGGGCAGTAACTGTGGCCGGTGGGGCAATCACTGAACGGGCAGACGTTGGTCATTGAATGAGCAGACGTTAGTCACTGAATGGGCATACGTTAGTCACTGAATTATGGCGGATGTGGATGTTGGTCCTAGACAAGAGGTGGTCACTGGACGGGCAGATGTTGGTTACTGGACGGGCGGACATTGGTCACTGAACGGGCAGACGTTGGTCACTGAACGAGCATACGCTGGTCACTGAATGGTCAGATGTTAGTCACTGAACAGGAAGTCACTATGACGGAAGTCACGGAATGGTATGTCACTGTAACGGACTAGTTCACTGTTTGATAAAGTCACTTAGTCACTAGGGGTCAGGGATAATTTAGTAAGTGTAATGTTAATTAGTCACATTTTTTGAAATTAAAGAGAAAGTTAACTTTTTTGTCCGTTTACTAATTTTTAGTAATATTGGTGACCTAAATACTTTCTTAAAATCGTATCCAGAAAAATTTTGCCGATAGATGAGTAGATATCAAACCAGCCAACCGGTGAAAGTGACTCCCAACCACTTAATTGGCCTCTCCAGCCTCTCCTCAACTACCCATTAATGGAAACTCAACTTTTGTAACGGTGTCACACCGTACACTTAATTGGCCCGATTTTTAAGCCTATAATAATCTGACTAGTAAGCGACACGGATCTGACAGGTCAACCCGGTCAACATATATACTCCCTCCGTCCCTAAATTATCTTCAAACTTTCCTTTTTCGTCCGTCCCAAAATTATCTCCTCTTCCCCTTTTTAGCAAAAAAATTGTGGTTCACAACCATTCTTACACATTCTTACACATTTCTCTCTCCTCTGCACAACTCTCCACCACACAAATCCCACTATCTTAATAAATGTGCCCAGCTGAAAAGGGAGAAAGATTAGGGACGGAGGGAGTATGATGCTTATTAAAGAATAAAATATTATATAAATACTTTCACTTATAATAATAGCGATAGTGCGTATTGATGATGCACATTTTTATTACGAATATCTATAAAAAATACATTTCAAAGATACAATTGTGAAAAGTTATGTCATGTGTCATCTTCTAAACAAACATTCATTGTAACATTCTAGATTCTCTTTCTAATTTAATATATTAATTATATTCAATATTGGTGTTATTAAAAAATAATAAAAATTTATGAAATTGGTATTTTTTTTTGAAAGTCAGAGTACAAATAAAAATGTTAGAGTACTTAAAACACAAATTTTTTAAAGTGTTAAATTATTTGTTATTTTTATATATTCAATAACAGTGTCATATGAAAGCAAATATTTTCTTTGATATGACGCCAATTTTTTATTTATACATTTTGTGTAACAATTGGAGTGAAAAAAAGTTTAGCACACGATAAAATTTCCATAAGTTATGATTGTACATTTAAAATTTTAAAAATAGTAGTTTGAGTAATTCTTTGTAATACATATACGATGTGATATATTATTAGTAATAAAAAGTTATTATAAATTAACTTTAGGTACATCTATTCCAAATGTAAAATAAGTAAATCAGTTTTTAAAATCCTATTTTTAATACTTTTTTTCCAATAATTTAAAAATACAATTAAGAATAATGGAAATTTTCTCTTGTTCGATTATAATTCAACAAAGTTATACTCCCTCCGTCCCTCAATTAAGTTCTTGGTTTGACTTCACACATATTAAAAAATAAATTTGACTTTACTGTGAAGTGCACTGTTTTGCACTGTTTAAACATTGTTTGGACACTGTTTTGCACTGTTTGACACTGTTTTGATGTAGATAATTTGCCAAATATGGAAAGTAAGGAAGTGTGAACTTAATTTAGGGACTGCCCAAAAAAGAAAGTGATAACTTAATTGCGGAACGGAGGGAGTATACATTACTTATGTAAAATTTTCTCAATATCCAAACAGGCTCATATATTAGGATCATGTTTGGCACTTTGAAATGTAGGTGTAGGCTAATGTCTGAATTAAGAACTATTGCTTGAACTAAAAACTATTGTGCAGAGGAAAGAGAAATTTCCAGAACCACAAATTAGTTGCTTTAATAGAAAAGAAGCAATATTTTTTGGGACAACCAAAAAAAGAAAGTTTGCAAAGTCCAATGGGATGGAGGTATGGATGGACTCGGGCCGGGTGGCCCGACCCGGAACCGGCCTGGGACCGGTACTGTTCCGGCCCGGCCCGACCCGGTGGCCCGGTCAGTGACCGGTCCGGGTAGGCCCGGCCCGTGGGTTTTCCGGTCCGGGCTCAAGTCACCCAAAACAAGTCCGACCCGGCCGGGCCCGGGCCCGGTTCGGGTCAAAAACTATTTTTTTTTTCAATTTTTTTTCAATTTTCGGGTTGGGCTGGGTATTTTGGGCCATTTGGGGTGGTTTGGGGGGTTGGGGGTGGGAGGGAGGTTAATTAGGAAGAGGAAAACAAAAAAAAATATAATGGGCCCGGCCCGGCCTGGCCCGGCCCGGATCTGGACCGGACCCGGTGGTTACCCGGTCCGGTCCCGGGTCCACCATTTCTAACCCGCCGGCCCGCCCGGGCCTAGGCCCGACCCGGACCCGGCCCGGACCCGAGTCCATCCATAGATGGAGGGAGTATATTTAAAAAAAAATATTTTGAATTTATCCCAATGTTGAATCTTTTTTAAAATTGAGGAGATTAATTGAACAATTCGAACATGTTCAAGGACTTATTTGAGCTTTCAATTTCGAAGTTAGATGCATAGTTGGCAACTGACCGGTGATGTGGTGGATGACCGGATGGTGTCTCATTAAAACTGAAATTTGAACCACTTTTTTCCAGTTCAGAGTGCAAATTGGACCTTCTTTTAATTCAGGGATTGAATTGAACTTACTCGACAAGTACAAGGGTCTATTTGACCCTTTATCCAACCTAAGTTACTTTTCTGATTGAAGTTATTGTGGAGGATCATTTTAGTCACTTTTTCATACACTCGTATTAATTTATTTATTTCATTAATAAAATATAGTTTAAATATTTTTTTCATGAATCAACATAATATGTCAATCCAACCACTCAACTGTAAACTCATAATAAGTTTCAACAGAATCAACCGATTCAACCAATTTCAATGCTACCAAACGTAGGGGTGGACTCGGGTCTGGGCCGGGTCTGGGTTGGGCCTAGGCCCGGGTGGGCCGGGTCCGGGTCGGGCCTAGGCCGGGGTCCGACCCGGCCGGGCCGGTTCACCAAATTTGAGACCCGAGCCCGGACCCGCCCTACCCCTGGGCCTAGGCCCGACCCGGACCCGAGAAGCGGGCCGGGTGGCCCGACCCGAGTCCAACCATAACCAAACAGTTCTAATATCCTTGCCAAATAGACCCTTAGAGATTGGAGTGTCATTCAGTCATTCTTTTTTTCTTAACAAATTAGAGATTTAAATAAAATTTACTGTAACTAGAGTATGGACACTAGCATAGACAGTAGACAGACATCCACGTGACCACATGTACATAGTCACAAATAATGATTTTGTACTTGCAATAAAGTCACAATTTAAACTCTTCCCCTTGAAATCCATATTCTCTCCTTGGCAAAGGACAACTCATGGATCAGAGACTCCAACCATCTAGACCGTACATATAGCTTGAGCAAAAGAGCAAGAAAATCATCCATCACTAGAGTTATAGGCATATGCTGATCTAATGGCACAGATTTGCCGAGCAGAGTGTCCTATGATTACAAACGTAAAGATATAAATGCCACTTGATGACTTAATTACCAGATCAAGATTCATGTCAATGCAGACCGTTTCCGTATTTGTTTCACTTTCATGTACAAACCCTACACCCAAGAGAAAAATGGTATTGGATAGCTTTTTTATTTAATCTGTTCTCTCAAAATCTGATTCTGATTCTGATTCTCAGAATCAGGATCATCTTTTGCCAAACACAATCCTAATCAACACTAGCTAAGCATCTTACATCAGTAGTGTGAATGGTCGCTCCTGTTGTCATGCTAATATTTTGATCTGGAATCAACTCAAAGCTCATGTTCTGCAAAAATATTGCCATAGACACAATAGCTTCTAGCAAGGCAAACTGATCACCAACACATTTACGAGGCCCTCCGCTGAAAGGGATGAATCTGCAATAAGTAGTTTATGAATCTGTAAATGAGTGAAACAAAATTTCCCACTTAGTCACAATACCATTATGTGATTCCTATGTCTGGCCTAGACTTAAACCAAGCTTGTCATGGCACATGGTGATCGCCATAGCACAAAGGCATTTTTCATGGCGCATGACGATTGCCATGGCACAAAGGCATTTTTCATGGCACATAAACAAATAATGCATATGGCGCTATGGCGATGACCATTTTTCATGGCAATGGAGCATATGGCGCATGCCATATCTCGCCATTGATAACTATGAAAACATTGACAACTTTTCACTTTTGGTGCATGACTATGAAATTCTTGCTGCTTTTGATCCGTTTCAGTCACTTATCCAGCAAAACAGCAACATTCAAGCCTCAAGTCCCAAAACAACAACAAAATCCAGCAAAACATGAGGAGAAGAAATCCATAGTTGTGCATCAAAAGTGGAAAAATCAAATATGAAAGAATATAGTAGTAGAATATAAAGGTGAAATAAAAAGGGATTTTGTGGACATGAATACCTAAAGTCAGTATTTGTCTCATTAGGCATGGGATCTTCTATGCCAAACCTTTCTGGAAGAAAATCTTCTGCTCTTTCCCAGACCATTGTAGAATGATGAATATTATATACTGAAATCATTATATCTTGACCAGCATTCACTTTATAATTCCCAGGCAAAACATCAGCTACTTGAGCTCTCCGTAGCAATACCTAATCAAATTAGTTTGAGAGGAAACAAGTCAGTATAAAAAAAGATGCATAATAAATATTCAACTAGGATAACAATGCCAGCATACAGGAGGATGAGGATACAGGCGAATAGACTCCAATATGCACCGTGTCAAGAACTTGAGATTTTTTATATCTTCATAGGTAGGATTTCTTCCCCCTAAAACTTGGGTGACTTCTTCTTGTGCTTTTCTCAAAGAGGAAGGGTCCTGCAATAGGATTAATTATGACAGTACTGTTTGATCTTAATATGCTCTGATCCTATTGTAAGCCTTCAAGTTATATCCTTAAATGTTTGTGCAACGATGAAAAGGGCTTGAATTATTACTCTACCCTCTTTGCTTTATTCTTCTTTTATTCCCTAAAATATCTACACTTCCTTTTCAGTGAAAGACTATGTGATTTATATGACTTCTTATCTCTCTTCTATACAAATTTTTGCAACATACTTTTCACTATGTTACAAACTCTGTGAAGTCAAATGAGGAGCTCAAACAGGGATGGAAGGAGTATTTCTTATATTGATCAGGGAAGTCAACTACCTTTGGGTTCAACAATTCTCGTGTTTGAAACTCAACACAAGAAATAAATACAGCTGTATGATACCTTACTTAGGAGGTATGATGTCCAAGTCAATACGGAAGCAGTGGTTTCATGCCCCGCAACAAGCATAGATAAAAGGTCATCACGAAGTTGTGCACTTGAAACCTACAATGCGCACATATTCAAGTTCTTGATGAAGCTAATAGAACCTAAAAAGTTGTTTCAAAATAAGTTCTAAACCTCTTCCCGGCTAGCAAGTAAAAATCTTAGGACGCTTGGGTCGGTCTCATTCACATACTCATCTTCACATATACTCTCACCCTCGCTTTCCACCATCTCTTTACATTCTGCAATGAGCTCTTCAACTGTTTGTCTGATTAGCATAACTGCCCTCTCTGCCTTTACTTGTCGCGGGACCAGTTTACACAAAGCTTTGATCTGCAATTGATCCGGTCGGTCTAAATAAATAATACTAAAGGAGTGTTAGCTATTACTTGAAAAAGTATTTTTCAGCCTTTTGTTTTCTAATACATGCTTTCGCTTAAACTTAAGCAGTTTGAAACTAAAAGCTGAAAGTAGGGGGAATGCTTAAAACGGATTTTCACTTTTTATAAAAAAAAAAGTGTTTTTCAAGAAGAAATCTAACTTTAACTTTTTTTTAAAGTTTTTTTTTCGAACGCTTCCAACTAGTACTGTTAATCACTTTTCGCATAATCTCTAAAATAAATCACTTCTCACAACTAGAAGGAAATGCAAACCACTCCCTAAGTGGATAAATTGTAGTCAACAAAACAGATACAGGCACCATAATGACTTGCCTTCCAATATGGTAAGAGATCAGTTGATCTCAACTCTGCTTCTTTCAAAGCAGTGTAAACCGCACCGATCACTGGGCTATTAGTCTCAAGGGAATCAAAGCTGTAATTAAAAACAGACAGCCCAATTACATCGAGGGTTAGTTGAGAAAACTTCTCCTCCATGTTTACTGGAGAGCCATTGTGAGCATAAGGTGTGAGTTTCTCCACCAATCTTTCAGCACATCTGCAAAACACCCTCTCAACCATTACAGACAAATACTTCTTGTGGAGTGATGGAACCACAGCCCTTCGTCTTGCCTATAACAAACATAAATCTTGAGCAAAAAAACACTTTTACAAGAGAGGAAATATTTCAGGTCAAAAGCTTTGTGAAGATGGTGGTAAAGCTCACAGATCTTGAACATGGTATTATTGTACACTCATTTGAGTCTTAAATGTATCTCCACTCTTGAACTTCAAGTGCTCATTTGGGTCTCAATCAAGCCGAGTTGTTTGTTGTAATAAGCTCGAATATCATATTTGTATTATGGTTTGAAAAGTTGTTCTTTGAAGAATTGAAAGCAGCAAAGTCTTTTATGCAAAAGCTAACACGATTTATCTTAGGGCTGGGCAATTCGGATTACGGTTCGGTTTTCTTCGATTTCGGTTCGGTTTCGGTTTATTCAGTTTGAGATAATTTGTACCAAACTAAAACCACTTGTGTTTCGGTTTGGTTTCGGTTCGGATTCGGTTCGGTTTGGTTTGAAGTTCGGTTTACCAAAGTGAAAATTATTATGTTCAATTTAGTTTGATTTGATTCGGTTTCTTATATTTATTACTAGTATTTTATTTGATTAAGTTCTATATTTTAGAATTAGAAAATGAAAGTAGTAGTCCATCTTATCTTCTTTTATTTAGTGCTTAAATAAAATATAAAAGGAAATAAAAGATAGAAAAAGAAATAATAAAATATTACTACGTATAAATTAAAACTTCTAACATCTTTTCAATCACTAGACAAAGATTCACTTCTCACAAAAATAAATTTATATATATTTGATTATCGTTTATAATATCACATAAAGCATTCAAAGAAAACTAAATGAGTAAGTGGTGCAAATGTTGTAATATTCACAACTTTATTCAAATGCATCATGTAAAAAATATAAATGCAATTTGCTATTGTTATCACCAAATATCTTTTCATACAAGTAGAATACAAAACATAACAAATACAAATATGTCGTATTAGCTAATATTGTCATAATGAATGTATAAATTGTGTAAAAGTTAAAATGATATATGCAAATTTGTATTTTTTATGTCTAAATTATTTATATACTAAAGATAAAGAGTGAAGAAAAATACAAAGTATTTATATATATTACAAGTTGTTCGGTGTTCGGTTGGTTTTAAGATTTTTCGGTTTTAAAACAAACCAAACCAAACTATTCGCTTTGAGAAAATTTCTACCAATCGGTTTACTTAAGTAAACCTAAACCAAACCAAACCAAACCACCAATTTTCGGTTCGGTTAAACCAAACCGTTTTGCCCAGCCCTAATATTTTATCTCTTAATAAATTCAACATTGATATTCGAAAACTAAAGTAGAGTTCGGCAAAACTCTATCTACATTATCTAAAATAGAACCAAGATGTGCACCCACTAACCCATCGAAAAGAGGGAGTGCTTACCGTCCAAAGGGGCCCTTCAGCAATGGCAAAGCCAGACCCAAACAAGAACTCAGACACCTCAGCAACAAGCCCCTTCCCATACTTCCCGTAATTTCTCAAGACATGCTTCGCAATGGATGGATCACTAACCACCACAAAGTTTCTAGGGCCAGCTGCGAGGCGGTAGATGTGTCCGTACTCATTCATCCACTTCAAGAGTGGGAGAAACAGAGCTCCGCCCAGAAGGTCAGACACGTCATCCAGCTTTGCCCTCGCAGTCGGTATATTCGAATCGTCATTCCGGTCTGCCGTGAGCGATCTGGTCAGACCCGTTAGCCAGTCCGGACTCACCCATGAGCTAGTCTTTGAGGGGGGCGGTGGTTTGTCCAGCGAGACTTTTACGGTTAGATAACGGGAATGGCTCCGCCGATTGGAGCTGAGAGTGACTGTGTGACGGTAGTGCGGTGGAGTGGCGCGGTGGAGGGAGGAAGATGGGAGAGGGAGTGAGGATGGCATCATCCTTGGCCTGGTGGCGCTACCGGCTATGAATCTCTCGTGTGCTTTTAGGGCCCGCCTTTTTAGATAATGCATCCCATCCAAATTGAGTTTGCAATTCTGATTTAAAAATCAGAAGCAGAATCAGAATCAGTTTTCAGAAGCTGGTCACCCCAACTTCTAAAAAAACTGATTCTAGGAGTAAATTAGAGCACCAGAATCACTTCTGCAGATTTACCCAAACACTCCAACTTCTGCTTCTGCTCCCTGAAGGAGCAGAAGCGGTTTTAAGAATCAATCCAAACACCCCCTTAATTTTATTTAGTTAATTAAAACTTTGTATCAATTATCATCCATAAAAATAGTCCCAATTATGACTAAATTGTTACTGAAATTCCTAAATGGATGTAGGTATAATTTTATTCCCTAAATAGAACCATTCTTCCAATTTTACCCCTCTAACCTCTGTCTCACGTTCATGACCATTCCGCATCTTTGCGCAACAGCGAGCTGGGCTTCAACGACAAGTGGTGGCGAGCAACTGCAGCGAGCAACGACGTGCATCGGCAGAGAGCGCCGACGAGCAGCGGCAGCGTGCGCCGGAGAGAAGCCACAGCGGGTCTGCCTCTTCCTCTCACTCCTTTGCTTCTTCAATTTTTCCCCATCTCAATCTGGTGTGGTGGCGGTGGTGCCAAGCCTAATCGAGGTCTTCTTCTCTCTTCTTTTCTGTCTCTTTGCTTCTTCTTCCTAATCTTCGGGTTTTTAGTTATTCTGCGTTTGTCATAAGGGTTGAAATCAAATTGCGTGGTTTACTTGGGCTTTGGGGGCTTCTAATGGCTCGAGTGAATACTATGGAGTATTTGGTTTTACAATTGCCAAAAAAAAATTAAATGCCAACAAAATGGCATTCCTACACTTTAAGAATTTCAAATTTTTCTTTATAAATGCCATTAAGATGACATTCTCTAATTAATGTTGGCATTCTGATGTAAAGGTGGTCATCAGTGGCGACGTCGACCAGATCTACAATACCAGTGGTCGGATCTGTGACGGCGGCGACCGGATTTGCAGTGGCGGCGACGGTTGGATCTGCAGGAGTGGCGGTCAACAGAGGCTAGATTTGGCCCGATCTAGGGAGGTGGTGGTTGGATCTACGGTGGCGCTGATCTGATATGGAGAGGCGGCAGCCTGCGGTGGTCGGTGGCGGGCGACGGCGGCGGGTCAGGTTGTCTGTCAAGGGCAGTCGTTTTGTCAAGTTTGGAGATATTTTTGTCCAACCTCAAATTATAACTCCTATTTAGGGAATTATTAAACATTAATCTCATCTTGGCAATTAATAATATAATTACTCACATTTAGGTAAATCCCCCTATAATTACACATACTTTGAAAATGCTTTTTAATAATACAACTATTTGAATGTAAAACAAAAATAATATGAGATCACTTTATGACTAGAAATCCGGTCACTTAAGACATCAAAAACTAATGGCAACCTTGCTGCAAAAAAACACTAATGGCAACCCATCAAATAAATTATATTTGAAAATAAATTCACTTATTAGATATTTGTATACAAATTTCCGATGAGTTAAATGACTGATTTTTTTGTAAAAAAATTGCTTTGTATCACTTTTGGTATATATTTATTAGATAGTTTGTACATAGTATTATTTATGCTCCTTCCCGAAATATTTAGCCAAACTCTTAAAATTTGTAACACGATTTTAATGGGAAATTACCCAAAATAGGAGTAAATGAGGTTTGAAATTCCAAAACAGGACTACTATGTTTTTCTTCCTGAAATAGAAATTGTTACTGCCATGTATGAAAAATACTGTCATAATTGAAAAATAATGTCATTAATCATAATTAATAATGTCATGTTAAATGCCCTGTACTGCAACTAATTGGCGGTCACGCCTACAAGATGACAGTAAATACTTCCATGTTAGTCCTATTTTGGGAATAAAAACATAGTAGTCCTATTTTGGAATTTCAAACTACATTTACTCCTATTTCAGGTAATCTCCCGATTTTAATTAGTGATGGATAGTGTACCCGAGGGGTAGCTTATCCGAGGGGTTAGTGCGGGGAGTAACTTAGAGAGAAGTCGGAGCAAACAAGTAAGAGAGACAAAGAGTTCAAATGTGTATTCGAATTGTATTGAGCGTGGTTTACAAATGGGGAAAGGGGTGCTATTTATAGCAGCAATAAATGCTAGATAGGGACACGTGTCATCATTCTGGCGGTCGAGGGGTCACCTCAACCGGGTGGCACTGGCATTCGCATGTGGGCGCATTAAATGCGGTGGTTGGATGCGACGTTTGTACTTGGTACGGTGATCCAGCGCATGTGGATGGGAGATTCTGTCGAGGAGGAAGCCTTCGGCTGCAGATGACGGTCCAAAGGCTCTACGTACCGGGGGCCTCATGGTGCCGAGGGCTCCCATTGTCGAAGGCGTGATTTTCCAGACCTGTTCTCCTGTGATGTTTCTGAGCCCAATTCCGTCACTGGTAGCCTTCGGCCATAGGGCCGAAGGCACCTCTTCATGTATCGTGGGCCGCTTAGAACTCCATCTTGCTGGGCTTGGCCCGCTTGGGCCTGTTGGGCCTGATTGTGATAGTGGAAGTATGTGGGCCGGGGGTGCCTTGGCCATATACTCCATCAGGAGTCCCTCACTCCTTTTGCCGAAAGGTACTTGAGGGAAAAGAAGTAATTGCGTTTGTCTTCGGATGTTGCCTTGCTGTCATCCGTAAAAGGGGTGAGGAGTCTTGCGCTTGGGTGTTTGCCGAGGGTAGTCCCTCAATCCCCCACATTTTGGGACAGAAGGAAAATTTTTACATTTGTAATTTCGTGAATTTCCCGAAGGGGTCCTCCAGTCCCCCACTCCTTGAGACACATATAATGTGGTGAAAAGGAGTAGCGTGGTGCCTGTTTTCATCATGGGCCCCGAAGGCTTGTGCTTTTTGTTTCATTTTGGGGGGATGTCTCGTTAAAATCCTCATTAGAAAAAACCCTTTGGGAAAAAACCCTAATGAGGGAAAAAGAGTGCACCGAATTCCCCAAATGATGAATCAAAAAGGTGAGCCCTTAGTTTGAGATGAAGAGCAATGTTGCCGCCAAGAGCTATCCGTGATCTGAGGGGTTTGATCGTTGATTTTGGTGATGCCGAAGGCTGATTGTTGCTATCTCGGAGGGTCTGTTGGGAGCACTCCTCCGAAGGTGTCTGTAGTTGATAAGCATGAGTGAGCATCCAGGGGACTGCCGAGGGCAGTCCCCCAGTTAATGAGGATGTGGGCGTGATTGATGTCGATGAATGCCGGTGATTGTCCCTGTGTGTCGAGGGGTTCCCCACTATTTTAGCCGGAGGCTAACCACATATGAGGGGGTTTGAAGGTGTGGCCCCGGGGGGTTCCCCGGTTCCCAACATGCTGAGGGCTGATGGGTCCTGAGGGTTTTTCCCGTTGTTGAGCCGGGGGCTCCTTTTGATAAAGGAGTCTGAAGGAGAAAGCCCAGAGGCATGAATGGTGTTGTATGATGGGTGCCGGACGGGAGCACCTCTGTGTTTTCAAAATATAACCGTTGTAATATGACCGTTGGAGGGGGCGTGGGGGGTGGTGTCCACGTGGCATGCTCCCGCCGGCTGTTTTGCCGTACACATACTCTCGGTGGAATTGGGCCTCCGATTCCCCCTCCACCCCTTATGATCGAGTACCTTCGGTTCGTCAAGCTCGCCCCCTGTCAGCTGACCCCAAACAGCTGTTCATACTTGGCTGGTTTCCTTTCCCTTTGCCAGAGTAGGGACGTGGAGCCCACTTTAGATCAATTCTTCCTCTCCTTCAACCTCTGCCGGGGAGGTCACTCAAATGTTGGAGGCTTCGCCAACCTGCAGCAGCTCCCCGAGTTCAGACTCTTCGACGATGTCCCCTCGTCTCACAAGGGGTGGAAAGAAAAGTTTTGCTATGTCCGCATGGCAGAGAATCCCTTCCCGGCCCCACTCCGTGATAGCTTCCGAAGGCATTTAAAGGCAGGGAGTGCCGCCTTGGAGAAGAAGAGGATGAAACTTTCCAAGAAGTCGGAGGGATCCGAGAAGCACGTATTGATCAAGGTCGCCACCCTCCCGGACGAGCTTTACGACTTGGGCTTCCGTCGATACCGGCTGATGGGGGAAAAAGATGAGAGATACCCCCTATCGATAGGGTCTACCAAAGCACCGGAGGTTGTCGCCTTATCGAGGGCTGTCATTTCATACTTAGAAAAAAAAAATGCGTCTTGCTGTAGCAATATTCTAACTCTTCTGTATTTCCTTTGCTTTTCAGGACTAGACATGGATTCTAACAACCTCGCCAGGTTGAAGAGGCAACTCGCCAAAGAGGATAAGAAGAAAGAGGCCCCAGCGTAGCAGAGGGCGGTGGATGACATATTCCCGAAGGCCGCAGTTGGGAATGATGGTGGGCCTGTGGTGAAGGCTGCCATCGGTGATGATGCCGGCTCTACAGCCGAGGGCTCCCCCGTCGAGGAGCTAAAGAGGAAGCGAGCCGGGAAGGCCGCGGTGCCACCGGAGGGGAAGAAACAGAAGAAGAGGGCCCTCGGGAAGAAAGAGGCCCCCGTTGTTATTGTCGAGGAGCATTCCTCCTCCGAGCCCCCGGTTCAAGTCCCCGGAATGGCGTGGCCCCCAGAGAGCGTGCAGTTCTCCATCAGCAAGGGGACTGCCATCATGCATGGCACCCTCAGCCCGAGGGAGTTCTTGATGGGTGCCACCGCTTCGACAGACAAGTCGGTGATGTCGCGGCAGGCTGACGACGCCCTCTGCTCCAAGGTTCTGCAGGCTTCGATCACTGTAAGACTTTTCCTCCCTTCTTTCCTTTAGTTAAGCGTATCTTACATATTGTGTGTAGTAACTTAACTCTTAGTGTTTCCCGGTCTTTTGTAGGCAAGTATTGGCCTATCAACATTACTTATCCTCTTGAAAGATTGGCAAAGCTATACACGGAGGAGATTGTGAGACTACATGGAGTTCCAATATCCATTGTCTCGGATAGGGACCCACGTTTCACATCCCGATTTTGGCCAAAATTTCAAGCATCTTTGGGTACGAAGCTAAAGTTTAGCACAGCCTTTCACCCACAGACGGATGGGCAATCCGAGAGGGTGATACAGATTCTGGAAGATATGCTTAGGGCATGTGCTCTGGAGTTCCAAGGGAGTTGGGACAAGCATTTGGCTCTGGTCGAGTTCGCCTATAACAACAGTTATCAGGCGAGTATTGGCATGCCTCCGTACGAGGCATTGTATGGGAGGAAATGTAGAACACCGTTGTGTTGGGATGAGGTTGGCGAAGCCAAGCTCGAGGGGATTGAACTTGTCGAAATCACCAAGGCTAAGGTGAAAGTCATTCAGGATAGACTCAAGGCTGCCCAAGATCGGCAAAAGAGTTATGCTGACAAACGACGCAAGCCATTGGAGTTTGAGGTCGGTGATAAGGTCTTTCTAAGGATTTCTCCTTGGAAAGGTATCATCAGATTTATATCGAGGGGAAAGCTTAACCCCCGATACATTGGCCCATTTGAAATCCTTGAAAGGATAGGGGTCGTGGCTTACCGTATCAAATTGACGCCAGAACTTGAGAAGATACACGACGTGTTGCATGTATCGATGCTCAAGAAATACGTGCGAGATCCGTCTCATATCCTTGAGAAACCACCAGTAGAGATACGTGCAGACCTACAATATGCGGTGGAACCGGTGAAGATTGTGGGTCAACAGGTAAAGAAACTGAGGAACAAGGAGATTCCTATGGTAAAGGTCCTTTGGAGGAGTGATCGAGTCGAAGAAGAAACCTGGGAGACTGAGGTCTCAATGAGGGAGATTCCTATGGTAAAGGTCCTTTTCGATTAGACACGCGGATTTCGGGGACGAAATCCCAAATAAGGGGGTGAACTTGTAACACCGTCCCCAAATGTATTTATCTTTAAGCGAATAATTTATTGAACCCTATGAAATTTTTAGTGAATTTACGAAGTTGTGAATTTGTATTAAATTTTTTCGCGTGAATAGTTAAATGCACGCGGGGCCCACATCAGGAGTGGGGACCGCCCGATATTATCGGGACCACATATTATATTCATCTGGGTCTAGAAAATATTTATAGATGGTGGATACTTCATTTGGGCCATGGAAAGGCCCAGAGTTGACCGATTGGTCAATAGAGGCCCAAATACCGGTATCGATAAATTTATCAGATAAAAGCCCGGAATTGGATTTTGGAGACTTATAAATTAAAGTTGAGGAATGCATATTCATTCTAAATGGTATAATGATTAAGAACACGTAATATATTTATTTAACCCGATAAAATAAAATATATCTAAAACAGTCCGGAAAATACAACTTTCGGGGCAAATTGTACACTTTGGGACAAATTAGGATGACCTCCCACATAGGTGGGGGCCACCCCACGAATTTGTCAACCCTTGGGGGCTGGATGAGTGCTAAGTTGGCTGAATAACAATTGATAGGATGGGGGAGACACCCTTTGACATTTAGTAGACCCCATCCCTTCACTCCTTGTCTAAATGAAACAAAAACCACCCCTCTCACCTCACCACCTCCACCCACACGTAGCAGCACCCAAGGATAGCAAGGAGGAGCTCTGAAAATCATCATTTTCACACCCAAATTCGAGCTCAAGATAGAGGATCCAAAGAGGAGTGTTTGGAGAAGGAAAAGGGTGTAGGAAAGTGTGGAAATTGAGGTAATCACCTTGCCATAGCTTTCCCTTTATTTTTCTTCTACCATGAGGAATATTTATTATATGAAGAACCCTTGGGATGGTTCTCCATGTTCTAAGTATGAATTTATGGGTTGGAAAGTGGTTCTATGTCCAAGAACGGACTTAGAAGCCAAATCGACCGGTTTGCCGGAAAATAACCTTTTATAGGTTATTTGTGTTGATATGGGTTTTGTGATGATAAAACCTTGTTAGGAACTTGATTTAAAGTATTTTTGAGCTTCGCCGGAGTTTCGTCGGAGTTGGTCAAAGTTCGCCGTAGTTGGTCAAAGTTCGCCGGAGTTGGTCAAAGTTCACCGAAATTAGTCAAAGTTCAATCGAGAAGCGTAGAACGCGCTTAAGCTTAATTAAGGTGAGGATGACCGACTATGTTGCTTATAATCTTTGGGTTAATTTCATGGGATTTCCTAAGTGAATACAAATGTGATGTGCATGGGTTGTTAATGGTTAATAATGCCTAAATAAAACTACTATTGATTACAAGTATAATATGCATGATATACAAATTTATGAATAAATTGGGTATGTTTAGATGTTATGAATATGAGTGTATGATGGTTGTATCAACCATGAATTTCATTTGGGATAGTATACTTTGATACCATGAGGAGAAGCCATGAATGTATAAAAGTGATACTTGATATTAAGGCCAATCATGCATGAAGGAAGAATTATATTGAAATAAATAAATAACTAGCATTGAAATATTAGTTGGAAATGTTAGTTGAGAAATGGATGAATTAGATCCTAAGAATTTGAATTATAAAGAATCGGTGATTATGAGTCGGGCTCGAGACCGATGTAGATAACGGTGATTATGGGTTGGGCTCTAGACCGTAGTAGATGACGGTGATTATGAGCTGGGCTCTAGACCGTGGTAGATGACGGTGATTATGAGCGGGGCTCTAGACCGTAGTAGATAACGGTGATTATGAGCTGGGCTCTAGACCGTAGTAAATAATGATGAATTGATACTAAATGAACGGATTAACTATAATGTAATAATGCTCTAGATTGAGGGCCTCAGAGATTTAAACTTCGATTATACTTAGTATAGTTGTCATTGTACTTGTCAAATGCTTCCAAGTATTGACCTCCCCTTCACGGGGGAGGCCACCTCACAGTTTCAGGTAGAACTTGAAGGTTGCTACTACCAGCCGCTGTTTCGGGAAGTTTCTGAGAAGAAGACTTGGTTCGTGCTTCTTCCGTTCTTGTTTTGAAAACAATATGAATAATGCTCATGGATATTATTTTCTGAATATACATTTCGGGGGTTTGTATACCCATGTTAGCCAAGTGTGGCTTGAACACTTGTAATGTTGTTTCCGCTGTTTTAAATTAATGATTTACATTATGTTTGTTTATGGATGTACTATGTGTGAATGATATTCATGACGCCTTGTATAGTATGGATGAGTTGGACTGCGGTTGGCTATTCGTACTGTACGGCGGGTTGTTGACGTGTCCGGCTAGGTCCAGGGCGTGACAATTTAATTGGTATCAGAGCCTTAGTCCGTAAACATCATAATGAAGCTTCAAAATTTCTTTTTGAAAATGAATTTGAAAACCATGAGCATAGGGTTTTGTACTCATAGAACTTTTGGTACTTGAGTTGCAATGCCTCTAATTGTTAAGATGGTACCCTTAACAATTGGTATGGCGGTGATTTGAGCCAAAGGATGTCCTTAAGTACCCGTCCGTCATTTGACATTCGATACGAGTCTAATGACTCATTCTAATTTCTTTCAGAAATGGAACCAGTTGGAAGGATCACTAGAAGGAACCCGTTGGGCCGTGCACCGGGTGGGTCCGAGCGCGGTAGCCGGGGGTCCTCTAGGGGATCAAGAGGAAGGGGCCGTGGAGGCCAACGTCAAACCGTGAGCGATGGCCACGTCGACACCGAAAGTGAGACCTATTGGTCCTATGAGGACTCAACCTACCAGCCGGGGACGGAGCCAGTTGAGACCCCTTACGAAGGGAATGATGATGATGTGAGTGATGAGGAGGAAAGTGGCTCCTTGGCCAGGATCGAAGCGCTGCTCCAACAGTATCATCGGGAGCGCGAAGAAAGGAGGGCACGCCGAAGGCACCGTGCAGGGCAACCTTCGGGCGGGGCTTCAAGAGGGAGGAGCTATTGCGATTCGAGAACCCATGTGGAAGCGCATGGAAGTCGGGGCGATGGAGGTCCAACCATAAGGATCTCCAAATACATCAAAGAGGCGAGGGACTTAGGGTGCAAACCGTTCGATGGGACGGGAGACATCTCGGTTGCCGCACAGTGGATCAAGAGGCTGAACGAGGCAGCCCTTGACATGCAGCTCACCCCCGATTTTAAACTGAGAATCGCGGTAAGGTTACTCGAAGGGTTGGCATCCAAATGGTGGGATGGAACCAAGGGTAAGTATGGCGGAACTGTTACATGGGAGGATTTTCGACAAGAATTCTTCGCCCAGTACTACTCCGACTTCGAAGTAAACACCAAGGTGAGGGAATACACTCTCCTAATCCAAGGTGGTAACATGACGGTGAAAGAACTTGAGAACAAGTTCAGAGACCTTGCTGATCACATACCGGAGTATGCTTATGATGAAAATCGAATGGTGAACCATTTTTGGGAGGCCTTGGACTTGGAGATACGCGACAGGGCAACTCAATTGCCCAACATGACTTTCAGCCAAGTGGTCGCCCAAGGGTTGAAAGGAGAAAAGCAATGGGAGGAGAGGAAGAAGAGAGATGCCGAAGAGGCTAAGAAAAGAAAGTGGGAAAGCCATGGCCCCCAAGGTCCCAACAAGAAGGGGAACCATGGGGGAGGTGGATCGTTCAGGGCACCGGCAGCACCATCCAAGGGAAACCCGGCCACGAGCGAGCACTACTCGGGCTCACAAGCCCCAACGACGCCCAGGTGCAGGAATTGCAACAGGAACCACGCCGCTAAGTGTCGTGATCCACCACGGTGCTACCAATGCGGGAATACAGGGCATATTAAGCCAAACTGCCCTCAACTTGGTGGGAATCGGGGGACAGGACCAAGCGGCGCTACCACGGAAAGTAGGAACCGGGCCGGAGCATCTCATGCCAGTGTGGGCCAGGGGGAGCGAGCACGAGCAATGCGCCGTCCGTGAATCAAGGAAGAACTCAAGCTAGAGCTTATGCGATGACAGAGGCGGACGCACGTGCTAACCCGGACTCCGTGGCGGGTAAGATCTTAAACTCATGATATTACACCATTGTATGCAATAGGAGTGTTTGTAAGGTGCAAAATTTGTAACCCCGACGGGTTGGTCGGGATTGCTGGGAAAAAGGGGAGGAAAAAAATCCCCGCCCTGGGCGAATGCCGCCCGGCATTTGACGAAAGCCGCCCGACTTTCGTCTTGAATTATTGGGAAAATGCTGCGGCGACGAATGCCGGCCGGTTTCCACCAAAAGCCGCTCGGCTTTCGTCAACATTTAATCAGGAAAATCCTCGCAACCAAAAACCGGCCGACTTTTGTAAAGACCGGACGACTTTCATAAATGCCTGACCTGGGAATTTTCTCGCAGCTGAAAGCCGCCCAGCTTTGGCG